CTCTTTTTAAAAATAAACTGAAAAATTTTTTAATTACGAAAAGTTCTTTTTTTCAAGGATAATAATGTATATGTATATATATGTATATAAGTGTGTACATATTTCATTAACATTGATACATTTTCTCCTATTGACAATTTTATTTTATCATTGAGAAGCAATTTTGAGCTGCACGGTGGCCGAGCCCACAAGAATTAATTTTCTTTTTTTGGTCTCCGAATCATTCATGCTTTTGTTTTGTTTGATTGAATAAAAGTGATTTGATTTGATTGATTTGATACATACATACATACATACATACATACATACATACATACATACATACATACATACATACATACATACATACATACATACATACATACATACATACATACATACATACATACATACATACATACATACATACATACATACATACATACATACATACATACATACATACATAAATACATACATACATACATATATACATACATACATCCATGCATCTTTGTATGTTTGTACCTATAACAGAGCGCACGCACTGATGTTAAGCAAGTAATTTCAAAAATAAAGTGTCTTCCACAAAAGGCAATTTTCGCTGATTCAACCTAATTATTTGGCTATCTAAAAAAAAATAATTTAAAAATTTTTAGTTTTTCTCAATTGATTGTATCTTAAAAAGGTTATAATATGTATTAATAATTAAATAAATCTAAAATAGTAAAACAAATTTATATGTAATAAGACGAATAATTAATTAATTAATTTAATTAACAAAATTATTAATATTTACATGAATAAATGAACCCAAATTTACTTTCTGATAACAACATTAAAAATTGTCCAATCGATGAAGCATTAAGGTTAGGCTTGAATAAAATTTCAACCATTGTCTCTATCACAACAGCAACTTCAACGACTACTGCTACTACTGCTGCTACTGCTGCTACTTCTGCTACTGCTGCTATGTTTTTTTTTACTACTACTTTTATATTACTCATATTACTACAATTATTTCAACTTTATAACAACGATACAACATCCACTACTACTATTACTATTAACCTTTATACTAATACTACTAACTTACGTTGTAGCTGGTTACAACTGCTGCTGCTACTACTACAACTACCATTTTTTACTACAACTGATGTTTTTACTACAACTTCTACTGCTACTACTACTAATGCTGCTGCTACTACTACTACTAATACTAATACTACTACTACTACTACTACTTCTACTACTAGTAGTACTACTACTACTACTACTACTACTACTACTACATTAAATTAATAATATCAATAATAATAATAATTAACAAATAACTAATCATAACAATTATATTATCCCAAATCATCATATTCATCATCACCAACATTGCCATCACAATTATCTCAAAAAACAAAGACAACAGAAACTACGGCAATCAAAACAAAGACAACGAAATCAAAGACAACAAAAACAAAAAAAAGATGACAATTTCGCTAAAACGTACCATTATTATAATCACGAACAAAAATGGCGAAGCATCAATCTTAGATGAAAACACTATCAAAAAACTAACGGTGAAAACATCAAGGGCGGGTAGATAGTGTAACGGTTAAGACGCCTGTTGGTTATTGTTGTCGCACTTACTGGCTTCGACTGCAAACGATTCCACTTCTATCACATGCAATGTATTTGATGCATAAACTCACACGTATTCGCACATGCATAGTGTGTGTATGTGTGTGCGTGTGCGCGCGCGCGTGTGTGTGTTAGATAAATTACATTCATTAATTAGCACAATAAACTGTAACTTCTATAACAAATTTAACAATAATAATAAGAGCTCACACATTGAAAACGTCTCAAAAAACATCATCAATAAAAGCACTATCATCATGATCATCAACATCATGATCATCACCGTTAAAACACAATCATTACCAGCGGCAGCAGTAGCCACAGCAGCAGCTTCTGTCGCGACAACTAATTCAACAGCGCCGTATGTAATAAATCTCAATTTGCGAGTAGAAAAAAATGTTTTACGTGTAAAAAAAAGTCTTATAAAAAATTTTTCATCTGAATTCAAACTCTTGAAATATATAAAGTTACATGTTTTATAAATATCATTTTCATTATCATTAATATCGCCATCGTTAGCATCTCATTTTCATCATGTTAATAATGATGAGTAAAAATTATCATCATCATCATCGTCGTCGTCATCATCATCATCTCCATCATCATCTCAACATCATCGACCTAGAAAATCATTAATCTACAGACATGCATGGATCAACAACATCATCATCCACGTCTCCATTAACATCATCGTCGTCATCATCACCATCTTCATTTTCTTTATCATCATCCTCATCATTATCATCACCATAACCATCTTCATCACTATAATCATCTTCATCACCATAACCATCTTCATCGTATTAGTCGTCATCGTCAACAACATTACCGTCATCTTCATCATCATCACCCTAATTTCCACTATCTTTATCACTATCATTATCATCTTCATCTTTACCATCATCGTCGTCGTCATCTTCGAAAAGAAACCAACGACCTAGATAAATGTCATTAATCAACAGATATGCCTGTATCAAACACTTCACCATATCGCTTGCAACTCAGAAAAACGAGCCCATGAAATTTTGAAACGAACGGTAAAATGGTGGTTTTTAAAAATGAAACCATCGACCTTCAGCAGTATTTTACTCAATATTATCATTCATCCGCCACATATTCACACACACACACACACATTTATACTTACACACAGACAATCTATTATGTTTGAATCAACAAAGTTTCTTTCAAACTTTCGGATAAAACAAATTTCATTCTGTGATGAAAAAAAAACAGAAAATAATAAAAGCTTGACCAGGATAAAATTTGAAAAATCTATCAAACCCTGCAACCCAAAAAAATAAAATAAAAATAATATTTATAAAATAATATTAATTAAATAATATGATGTCCGCTGTCATGTAAAACCTTTTACTAGTAAAAATAGTTTCAAGATTAGTTGCTTTCGAACACGGTCAACCATGTTCCGTCAGTCATTTTTACCATCATACTCTAATAACTCTAACTAGGTGACAGAAGTGTGCAGGCTTCTCTGCCCAAGGTATGGAATGATCTTCCAACAAGATTGAAGCAAATGGCTCCAGAGAAAGGTTTCAAAAGAGAGTTAAAAAGTTATTTCTCAACAAAGCGTTTAATCACAGTACAATCTTCTGAGGAATGTCAATAGAGTAAATAACATTTTAATAATTATAATAATAATAATAATAATAATAATCTAGCTACTTATGTAATGTTTTACTTCATCACCGTTGCTACTTAGGCTAACGTACGTTAAACTTGTGATGTAGACAGCAACCGTGTTGAATTGAAATCGTTAATTGGAGTATCAAATGCAGAGTAAGTCAGTTTTAAACTTTGTTGATCGGGGAATGCGAATTTTTTCAAGTTAGGATTACTACTACTACTACTTCTACTACTACTACCACTATTACTACTACTACTATTACTATTACAACAACTACTACTACAGCAACTACTACTACCACTGCTACTGCTACTACTACTACTACTATTTACTACTACTACTACTACAACCCCACTACTACTACTACTACTACTACTACTGCTACTACTACTACTACTTTTTACTACTACTACTACTACAACTATTACTACCACTGCTACTACTATTACTACTACTTCTGATTATACTACTAAAATATTAATGAATAATAATAATTATTATATTATTATTATAGTATTAGTAACTGTAATATATGTAAAAAAAAATTGATAATAATTTTCTCACGTGTTGCTATGCTTAAAATGTCATCTTCTTGGCAGCATGTTGTTGTGTAATTTTCAACCTATGAAAAAATGGAAGGAGAAAAGATTTTGTCGAAAAATTATAACAAAATTGACGTTAACAGTAATAACTGAAATAAAAATAATTATGGTTATAATAATTAAAATAAATAATAATAAAAATGTTTTTTACAAGTCGTCATCTTACTGGCTGTTAGTAACTTTATCATGGTCATCTTTTCTTATCATTTCAGTCATCATCGTCCTAACCTTTACCTCTGTCACCTTCTTCTTTATCCTCAATATCAGCCGCTGCAACGACAGCAGCGATAGCAGCAGCTTCTTCGGCATAGTCTTCGCCATCGTCATCACAATGATGAAATCGTCATCCTCTCCAGCACGTTATAATCATCGTTGTCTCATTCATGTCGTTGTCATCACCATCATCATCTCTTCTCTTGTTCTCTTCATCTTCATCTTGTTCTCTTCATCTTCATCATCTTCATTATCATCATCTTCGTCATCATCATCATCATCATCATCATCCTCTCCATTTAACGATGGCGATGATGAAGATGAGGATGGCAAAGATGACACTCTGCTGTTACTGCTTTAGCTGCTGTCGCCGCAGATGATGATGATGATGATGGTGATGATGATGATGATGATGATGATGATGATGATGATGATGATGGTGATGATGATGATGATGATGATGATGATGATGATGATGATGATGAAAAAGAGGATGATGATGATCACAATGATGAAGATGATGATGATGGAGAGGACGATCTAAAAATAAAAACATTTAATATCTGAAACCACTTCTACTTGAATGAGGCTTCATTTTAGAAACCGTCCTTCAGAAATTCGATATACATGCATGAAATTAAACCAAAATTAAAATTAATAAATTATCAAGAATAAATTAATAAATAAATGAAATATAGATAAAAATAAAAAATTTATTAATCATTTTTATATCAGAAAAAACACTTGAACCAAAATTAAACTTTAACACATGACAACTACCAGTGGCATAACATCATTAACGAATACATTAACTAAGAGACATCAGAGATAAAAAAAATTAAGCCAAACTAAAAACATTAATAAACAATGACACTGAAAATAAAATCTCAACTCTTACTTTTTTTTGAGGCAGTAACTTCTTTGCCTACAGCTAAAACGCCAATTCAAGACAAGATAATAAACATTGCTTAACTGAAAGTTTCAATTAAAACAACAGCAACAAAAACAGCAGCAACAACAACAACAAAAACAACAACGACAACAACGGTACCAACAACAACAAAAACAACAACAACAACGACAAAAACACCAACAACAACAACAACAACGACAAAAACACCAACAACAACAACAGCAACAATAATAAAGATCTAGTGGTATAAAAAAAATCGAACTTACTCCATAAAGAACAACTGAAGCAATTACATTGGGCCAGAAATAAACAAGACGACGTCAGAGATGGCCAAACCGATAACTGAAACAATTGCCGAAATCACATCAGGAGTCAGTGACGTCATCTACAAAAGTGACAATGACGTCATTAAAAATTACAATTATGACGTCATTAGCAACAATGATGACATTACGGCGGATGAGAAAGGCGAGTCAATCAACTATAGCATTAAAAATGAGTTTATCAACAACAAGCGTTTAGTCAGAGACAACCACATACTGAAAAATGAGTTTATTTATAGCAGCGATGATGCAACAAACAACTACAACAAAAATGACGTCATCATCGGCAACAAGACGAGCGAAATCATCATTACGGCCAGCAACAACAACAAAACCGACGACATCATCAACAATATCGTCATAAACAACACAAACTACGGCCACAACAACAACAACAACAACGCAGGCATAATCAACAGTCTAACAATCAACAACAACAACAAAATCATCAACAACAACATCTTTGAGGACAGCGATTACAACAACGTTAATGTCGTGTTAAACAACATCAACAACATCTTTTTAAAAAACAACAACAGCTTCCTAAACAACATAAACGACAACGACAACGAAATGGGCAACTACAACAACCTATCCATATCAACATTCTTAACGTACCACCAAACAACAACACCACAGCAAGCAGGTAAAACATTTCAAAACATCACTTTCCTTCCGCCCATCACT